GGATACAAATAATATCAGGCTGATCGTGCCACAATTTGTTCCCAATGTCTAAATCACGGACAAACAGTATCCCACAGTTGTTTATGTTTTTAAACCCATTTTGCACAGAGAGGCATTTTTTGAAAAATGTATTCATAGCAATGTTGAATATTATTACACAGGAAAAAACAACTACACGTAGAATGATCACACCGTGACCGACACCAACACCGAGAACATTTTTCTTGTAAAACAAAGGGGGAAAAAAAGTTTGGGAACCACTGTCCTAAGCTGTACATTTCCATTTAGATTATTTGATCCCCTGCTGAATTCATAAGTCTGCTCACTTTCAAAAAACAAACATAAAAATATAATTTTAGGTTAGTTTCATTTTAATGGAAATAGAAAAAATGTCAACCAAAGATCTGGAAAAACAAGTTAGATAAAAGTTAGAAAATGATTGGCACGCCAGTGAGCGGAATTAGTATTTTATGTGTGTAAAGTACAGCTGTCCACAGAATCAATGTCTTCCAGCATCTCCACCGCCATTGGCAAGACCAAAGAGCTTTCAAATGATGTGAGGGACAAGATGATAGATCGGTGTAAAGCTGAAAAGGATCACAAAGCCATTCTTGATCTGGAGCATGAAAGGAAAGAAAGAAAGGTGGTGGATGAGCCTGAAACTACATGAGAAAAGCTTGTTAATGATCTGAAGGCAGTTGGGGGGACAGTCACTAAGAACACCACTGGTAACACGCTACGCCATAATGGTTTTAAATCTTGCAAGGTCCCTCTGCTTAAGAAGGCACATGTAAAGGCCCATCTTACGTTTTTCCCTCTAAATGATTCTGAGGAGGATTGGTAGAAAGTTCTGGGGTCAGATTTAAAATTAAGCTATCTGGCATCAACTGGGCCCACCATCCCATATGGAAAAGAAATAGTAAAAACTTATATGACTTAACTCATGAAAGTGGCCACTTTCATGAGTAAATCATATAAGGCTTACATGATTTACTCATGAAAGTGGCCACTTTCTCATTACTTTCATATATTGTTTTAGTAAGTATCCAAAACATACAAGTTTCATTATATAATTTTTCAAGGGATCTTATATCTGTTTTGACTCTTGTATGCTTTTCATAGAAGTTTCACACAAGACAGATACAAACTTTATAAGATTTATATATATCTTTTCCATATGGGATGTTTGGTAAAAGAGAAATGCAGAGTATGACCCAATGAACATCGGCCCCACAATCAAGTATGAAACATTATGCTTTGGGGTTGCTTTTCTGCTAGAGCAGGGGTGTCGAACTCCGGGCCTCGAGGGCCGGTGTCCTGCAGGTTTTAGATGTGCCCTTGATCCAACACAGCTGATTTAAATGTCTAAATTACCTCTTCAACATGTCTTGAAGTTCTCCAGAAGCCTGGTAACGAACTGATCATTTGATTCAGGTGTGTTGACCGAGGGTTAGATCTAAAACCTACAGGACACCAGCCCTCGAGGCCTGGAGTTCGACACCCCTGTGCTAGAGGAACAGATTAACCGCCACAAAAAATAGAGATTGTTCTTTGTACGTCAGCAAACTTCGAAACAGAGGATCAAATAATTATATTTCCAACTGTACTGTACAGCTGTCATTCTTTTCTTCAGATTCTAGGTTTCTCTGTATCTCCACCGATTTTCCACCAGTGAAAGAGCTTGTTGTTTTTCATGGTGATAGTATAATAATAAGTAAGTAATGAAATAAGATTCTAAGTGCTTCTAAAGTGCACTGACCTTGGGACCCATAATTTCAACTGATTTAAAAATATGATATTACAACATCAAAACAAACAAATTTATTTAACATTAGTTATTAAGTATCTGTTTATATGTTTATGCTCAGCCTGACGCTGCTTGGAGCATGTGGCATTCCAAACGTGTACTGGCAAATGGGAAGTTGCAGAATGACCTTTACTATGTAACGTCAACACTCATATCATGGGTAAATGGTGTTTCTGGTGTTACTTATTGGATGTTAGAAATGCAGATACTGATACATATATCAGCCCAATAATAAACTGGTTCTAGAAGTAATACAAAAAGAAGTTCAGCTTAAAACAATTCTGATTAAAGAAGAGCTTTAGAAATTACTCAAGACATCTAAAAGCAACATTGCAAACTGCTTATAACTGTTTTTTTGGTGTAATTTGAACATTTATTGAGCCCAAATGCCACTGCCTATCCATCTTATAATCAGCTCTTACAGGATAAACAGCTTTTTAGAAGGTCTTAAACTACCGCTGCAGCTCAAACATGAAATGGGTTTTACGCATACCAAGAGTGACCGAATATTTCAAAATTTCAATTTATCGATTTTAAATTCCATGGTTACCTGTTTACAGAACTCGTTTATAAAACCACTCTTGCCACATAAGCTAGACCTTCCTGTATCTATATACTCCATATCCACACTCATCCCTAAATGTTATTTTAATTACTTTCTTTCAATGGAAATTTCAAACTCAAAGCTATTTGTCCTCCATATAATATTTCATCATCATTCATTCTAAAGTGAGTTTTTGGCTATTTTTGCTTTGATATATAGGGTTGGGCTTGTTAAAAAATGTTTGCCGTAGAAGTATTAAGATGTCATGTTGAAACATTGCTGTTTTTGAATACTGAATAGGCATCTGCTTGTGACAGAAAACACGAGTAAAAAAAATAAATAAATAAAGATTGTATTTTCCATTCCATTTTCTCCCACTTTAAACTGACTTTATACTGTTTTGAAGGCCACAGTCAAAGGCAAGCCTCACCCTTTATTTTCCCCACTGTATAATGTGATGCTCTTCTCATGGCCAGGGAATCTCTGGTGTGCTGCCGGGATGAGAGAGCCAGCAGTGACTCTGTGAACCTCAGTCCAAAATGAAAGTCCAATCTGACATCCACTCTGTCCTTTTGAACACACCAGATCTGAGACAGTGCTGCAAAACCGATGGCCCTGTGAAAGCAGGTAGCAGAGACAGACCAAATACAGACAAATAGCCAGAGAGGATTTCACAGATATTCCGAGTAACAACCTTGAACCTGTCAACTTTAGCTCTCAGGCTCTTTTTTGGCAGTTTAAAAATAATAAGAAGGCAGATATTCTTCAGCGGCTCAAAACTAACATATCTGGGGTTGACATATCTATCCGTGGCTGAGGTGTTACAGGTGAAGCCCAAAGACTTGGATCTTGTTATTTCTTTATATTTCAGGTTAGTTATGTCTATATGGTAGGTGAAAATGCTGAAATGGCTGCTGTTTGTAAAGTGGGTGTAGGTGTAGCTGCCGCTCGTTTAGAAGATGAATCTGCTTGGCAAGGACGTTTAGTTTTATCAGCGCTAAACTTTCAAACTTCCCTTTCTCTGTCCAAGTTCTCTCAGTAAGCTGCCTGTGAGACTCTGCCGATAATAAATGAAAACTGTGAGTGCAGTCTTTTGTGATACTGAGAACTAAAGTTAAAAGAAAATAGGCTATTCTCTAATAAGTGTTAATTTTCTTTTTTTCATACCAGGGTCCTTCATGATGGTGAATTCTTCGCAGCATTATGGTGGCCAAAGGGCTCAGCTCCTTCTGCTCCCGCTCAGTGAGAACGACACTCATTGCATCCAGTTCAGCTACTTCCTATACAGCCGTGATGGCCACAGCCCCGGGGACCTCCAAGTCTATGTCCGGGTAAACTCGGGTCCCAAGGGCAGCGCAGTTTGGAATATCTCAGGCTCCCAGGGTCGCCAGTGGCACCAGGTGGAGCTTGCTGTGAGCACTTTCTGGCCCAGTGAATACCAGGTAAGAGACTGGTAACAAACACATAAACACATGAGGTTTCAGTAGTTGTGTTGTTAAATACAACAATGAGCCAAAGACTACTGACAGCTGTCAGCTGAGGTGAATTATGTTTGGATATTTTATAAATTTATATAAGATGGTAGCTAACTGGAAATTTCTAGTATTCAATCTTGTAAAAAATCTTGGTGATTCTACCCACTAATT